ACACACACACACACACACACACACACACACACACAGAGTTACCAGCTAACTAAGTCACATATAACATAAGATGGAAATAAAAGGAGTCTGTCTTATTTTTTTTAAGATTTATTTTTAAGTAATATCTACACCCAGTGTGGACTTGAATTTATAACCCCAAGATCAAGAGTACTATGCTGTATCGACTGAGCCAGCCAAGCGCCCTGGGAGTCTGTTTTAAATTTACCAGGAACTTAAGTTTGTATTAAGAACTTTATGTCCAATTGCCCACCTTGGGCTCACGGACTTTATTCCAAATGCACTCTCTTCATTTATGCCTACTTAAACTCTGTACATTTTTCATAGGAAATTCCAATGTATACAAAAGATGATAAAATGATGTAAGAAAATCCCTATCACCCAGATGAAAGAGTTATCAACTCACAGCAAATCTTAATTCATCTCTACCTTCCCACTTCCGTTTCTGGGATCTGTAAGTAACACATCTGCTGACTTTACTTCCTTTGTGTGGGTGTACTGACACTGTGCCTTCGATCAAAACGACCCCGGGGGGTTTTCATTTCCCCAAAGTGGGAGCTCAGATGATGAGGGAACTAACTACCTGCAGACCCCTGCGGGTGGCTCGTACCTCCCCATTCAGCAGGCCATAATCTGCACATTCTTAATGCAATACACTAGCTCCAGCTTCCAAATACAGACACCAACAAAGTATTTGTTAAAATGCCAATCTGATAGGAAAGAAATGATAACTTGTGTTGTTTTAATTAGCATCTCTTTTACGTGAGGTTGGGCACCTTTTCATATAAGGCTAATCTGTATTTGTTTCTATGAACTTGCTGTTCATTACCTTTTTTGCCCATCTTTCTATAAAGCTATTGGTCCTTTCCTGCCTCAGTTTTAGAAGATTTTTATATAGTTGAGAGATTAATGCGTTGTCCATGATATAAGTGGCAAACATTCTTCCAGTCTGTCATTGTCTTTTTGAGGTATTTTCTGCCTTGTGGGGGGGGGGGAGGGTGCGTGGGGGGGGCATGTGTGTGTGTATATATATACACACATAGAAACATACATGAATGTGTGAATACACATACACGTAGTTATGGTTACCTATGTTTTCCCTCTTTGTTTCTGGATTTGGACTCACAGGAAACTTTTCCTCATACATAGGTCATAAAAGACTTTACCCATGGTCTTTTCTAATACTTAGTATGGTGTTACTTTCTATATTAACACCCCAGTGTACATACAGTATGAGAAGTAGATTCAATCCTACCTTTCCCAGTTGGCTATTCCAGTATCACAAACACCATTTATTTAAAATTCTGTATTTTCTCCAATGATTTTAGAATGCTGCCTTTATTATAGACTAAATTTCCACATATAATTGAGATATTTATATATTTTCTATTCTCTTCAACTGGACTGTCTTTGCCTATAACACATTTTAAAGTGCAAGGGCACCTGGGTGGCTCAGGTGGTTAAATGTCCAACTTCAGCTCACCTCATGATCTCATGGTCCATGAGTTTGAGCCCAGTGTCGGGCTCTGTGCCCAACAGCTCAGAGCCCGGAGCCTGCTTCAGATTCTGTGTCTTCCTCTCTCTCTGCCCCTCCCCCCTCTCAAAAATAAACATTAAAAAATTAATAAAAAATAAATAAAATGATAATGGCCTACAGTAATATGCTCTCATATGCAGCAGGGCAGGCCCCCTCAACCTTACTGCTCTTTAATTTCAAGGTTTTCCCAGCTTTCCTTGCTTGTCTGTTCTTACTAATGAACTTTATAATCTGTCCAGCCCCAGGAGGAAAAATCTAATGGTACTTTTGTTGGGATTCTGTTATATTTATAAATGATTTTAGAAAAAAAACTGACATTCTTAAGATGTTGTGCATGCCTACCCAGAACATTTGTTCTAGTCTGTGTTTGTATTTTGGAATTTTTTTTTTAACGTTTATTTATTTTTTTGAGACAGAGAGAGACAGAGCATGAACAGGGGAGGGGGAGAGAGAGAGGGAGACACAGAATCTGAAACGGGCTAAAGGCTCTGAGCTGTCAGCACAGAGCCCGACGCGGGGCTCGAACTCACGGACTGTGAGATCATGACCTGAGCCG